TAGTATTTTTTTGCAAAAAATACAAACCTCTGTTTCATTCTCTCTTCATTCGAGTTCAGTTGCCTACATTTGAGTACAAAATTGTTCATCTCATTTGATTCAAATGTTTGACATTTAAACATTCAGCGCACAGCACAAAATGAGAGAATGTGCACAATTTCATGGTAACGGAAAAGATTCTCTCTGGATGAGTTTCTAACGATAAGATATTTGAGGAGAACATTTCACTGCAACAATGCCGAGAATTTATCGTTAATTAGACGATTCAAAACTTAATTAATTCTTTGAAAACGCTTGAATGGATTTCAGTATTTCGCTGAAATTAATTCGCCACATCCAATGATCATTTTCAGATTTGCGACGCTTTTAGCAATCTGATTAGTTGCTTAGTCCACATACTGTACATTGCAGTCACTCGAAATTTTCATCTAAGAGATATTCTCCAAGTGTGGAACTTTCTCACATTTTTATAAGAGTTCCGTCTCAGCAGTGCTTGAGTTGTTACGACTGTCTGTGGATTGCTATTGTTATCATTGTTATTGCGATTGCAATCGTGTCATCACGGTTGACATTATCGTTATTGTGATTATAATGAGTGCTTTGGTTATTGCCATTTTCGCATGAGAACCTCTGTGACTACGATACTTTCATTCTCTTACTGTTGAAACTGCACTCTTGTATGCTTGAAAGCGTGAGAAATCGCAGATAATCTGCTAGATAAGAATGTCTAATGCGATATTTTTCCGCTTTGCACTTTCGGCTTTGAGGTGAAAACAAAAGCGTTGCTGAACGCTGTTGGATAATGTTGATAGTACGTTCCCACATGAGAATACCCGAAAAAATCGTCAACAAACTGACATTCAATTATCCGATATTGCAGACATCACAACGAGACCGTCGACGGAATGTTGCCTCATCTGTTGTATTTTATCTCGTTGACGAGACTTTTCGACAATTCCGCGAATGGCACTGATTTTGAGCACGGAATTCAATCGCCATCGTTTTTGCCGAAATCACCACCTGAGCACGGAATCAGTGCGGCCGCACTCAACTATGAATCTTTCGCGGTTGAATCAGACCGCTCGAGGGATGGCACGGGCCGGACGGGATGCAATGGGAGCGGACACGAGGATGGAGCGACCGATAGTGTTCTGCATAAAATCCTCAACGATAATTACGATAAAACAATTGTGCCGAATCGTGACGGTGCATTAGTGTCGATTGAGGTTGCTCTACAAACGTTCTCGGATATCTCCGAGAGTAGTGCCAGCTTCACGGCTGATATACTGCTCAGGTTTGTCTTGGTTCACCTTGTTCACCGCAGAATTTGCAAACTAAATTACAAGGAGATTCTCAATGAAAATAAAAGGAAGTGAAACTATTTTGATAACATCGATACTAATCACCTTCTTGTTTTCTGTTCACCTTTTACTACGGTATCACCCTATTCTTGACGGATTCCGAGTAGGTGCTTAGCAAAGTCCGAATATCCAGCATCACAGAAATGTTTCTGCAAATTACAGTTATATATCCAGGTATGAATCGTATGATATATCATATACATGCCTAATATGAGAGTTGCATTCATCAGAGATGGATAAAACTGTATTGCTGATGTTATTCTTGTATTTGATAAACTCAGATTACGTAAGTAGGAGATGAGAATGTTCATGTAAGTTGAGGATTATGCTTAAGAGAAATGTTTGGAGTAAAGTGGAACGCTTCAGTCAGATCTGGCATGACGAACGATTGCGTTTCGAGCAGTATTCATCGTGTATTGAGAATTTGACGCTCAATTATTTGGTTGTGGATCGGATTTGGCAACCAATGGTGTGTTTTGTGAACAGCAAGAAAAGTGATCTGCATTCATCACCTACACCGAACACATTCCTTTTGATCTATCCCAATGGCACCGTTTGGGTGAGTTCAATTTCTGGATAACTCAATGCGGCATTTTGGTTGATCTGATGTGATTCTGGACGACCTCTTCAAATTTTGACTAACTTCTTGGGATCTTCAATAGCTCATTGAGATACACAGTAATTTCTAGGAATCAACAGTTATTCAAAACGATATTGAATAACTGCATGTGACTTATAGATAAGATTTTCGATTATTTTCTATCAGCTAGGTCGTCTGGAGTAACCCTACCCATGCATGTTATGAAAGTTCGCCTGCCCGATTGTAGTTCTATTCCAATTCTATAGCACAGAAGAAGCTCGTTTTTTTTGCCAACCTCAGTTGAGGAGCTTCTTAATGTACTCATATCTCATTATCAGTCTTCTGAAACGATGAACAATTTTTCAAGAAGCAGTGAGCAAAGTATTTGTTCAAAAAAAAAAAAACGTTCTCTCACTCAAAAACATTTGATTTTATTGGTTTCTACAAAAAATTCAATCACTGAAAGAATTCTTGTGAATGAGGTTGTGATTTTTCAGATAAATCATCGTCTACGTGTAGAAGGTGAGAAATTTTCATCAATTCCGAATTCTGAAGAACAACTTCAGCAGAAAGCTCAGTTCAATGAAATCCAGTCAAATGTTCACACTTTGTATTTTAGATTATTTTGTATGCAATCAAACAGGAAGCTCTGAATATCTTAAGATTACCGTTTATTCATAAACAATTTCATTAAGTGTGATTGGCTGTGCGAANGTGTCCGTTAGTGATTTGTATTTGTTCAAATCGATACGGTTTCAAAAATGATTGCCATTTTGAGGACCATGTTATATGGACTTGCGAAGATTCCCAATGGACAGCCAAGAGTGTGAGCTGATTCTTGAGTCGTACGCCTACAATGCAGCGAAAGTCAGGCTGAAATGGCGAGATTGGGATCCTGTACGGTGTTTGCAGTCTTTCGACTATCAGAGATTTCTATACTTTGTCAAATGAACCGAAATGCTGATCACCATCCGAACAGACTCGCTCTATTAGGACCTCTTGATCTCTACTTAAAATTTTGACCATTTCATTGAGAATAATACGTAAATGGAATTGTATAAAGTATGCAAACCCGACAACTTCAGGTTTTCTCTTATGACTCGCGTACTCGTCTACCAGACTTTGTGCTAAGTGAATTGAAATGGGACAAGAAATCTTTCTTCTACGCTGCTGGCAAATGGGATCAAGTTTGTTCTACTAATGCACTTGAGCCGAAATCATTTCTATCATTGTATTTATAAATCACTTCCGAATTCGAGCTGATCGATTTCTTAGTGTAAAGTGCCAAGCCTCCAGATTCTGAACCAATCCAACTCACTTACTTTCTTATAATCATGCTAAAGTAATGAAGATTCCTGACTTCAGCCGTACGGAATAGAGAGGAACCCGTATCAACTTCATGTCTTTTTATAATATATTTGTAGTTTATGAGTTATTGAAATGAAATTATTTGTACACCCTATTCATATAGGTGAATTCACCATTTTAGTTTCAGTTACTGACTTTTATCGAGACTCCTTTAATGCCTATTTCAGTTATCTGTAAGTTTTTTTCTGACTCGTCAATATGGCTTCTACATACTGCAAATTTACACACCAACCTATATTAGCGTTGTGATGTCGTGGCTTCCGTTCTGGATCGACCGTAATTCACAACCGGCCAGATTTACGCTTGCTGTCAGCTCGCTGATGGCTCTCACGTTTCAGTACGGCAGTGTGGCGAAGTCTTTACCTCGAGTCGGGTAAAAAAACTAATTCATTGCTTCATTTAGTCATCACTTCAGGTCACCTATCGAATCATTTTGATTCTACTGAAAGTTCAACAAAAGGAAATTCGATTCTGATCTCTCATGATCCTAGAAATCGCTCATCGAAACTTTCGGTCTAGTCGCAAATTTCATAGAAACTCTGTCTAGGAGCCGTTGATTCTCCGAAAAATTACTTGTGAACTGAGGTTCTCGCCTGCTGTTTCTTCGGACTTTCATTGCATTAAATCTGAATTGAGGGTCAAGAACTATGTTTTACTGGACATAAATGACTGATATCTGTTGGGGTATTCATGGAAGTTTGAAATAGTCGACAGTTTTGTACACTTCATGACTAAATTACGAAAAAAGTTTGACGATTTTAATTCAGTTATATCAAAGCGATTGACATTTGGATGTTCGCAATGTGCTTCTTTATTCTATTCTCATTGATCCATTTGACGATGGTCGGCTATATCGACCGAGTTACGACGACGCGAGAGAAACGAATCGAGAAATCACCAAACAGTCCATTGGTATCGTTCAAAATATTGCTCTGCTCAAAATCTCCTCCTTCAAACACAGTTTCTTCATTCACTCATGCAACACTTCACCAAATATTCTCATTTGAACACAAATCTCATGCAATTCTCGAATTTTGAATTTTTTATGAGGGAGGAGGAGGAGAATTTTATTAGAATGCAAACAATGTTGCAGTCTCATCTTATCAAGCAATTTTATTTTGATTCATCCTTTGACTGGAGAATTCATAGACCATAATCACAACAGTCATAGCTTTGGTTAGTACATTGACTAAATAGATCATAACTTTGGCTAGTAGACTGCTTGAAACCAGATAGATATTTCACTCAGAACGTGGCTAAGTAGACGGGTAATTTCTCTAAATTACGTGGATTTCAGAAGCCTTCTGAGACTGCCACGCAAGTTCATCACGATGTGTCGAATAATCAGTTGTCGAATGGAGATGTTGAAGGTGCTACAAGTGAACGGAACCAACATAAAGTTTGCGCGAAAATTTGCAGAAATAACGTCTCATGGTATCAAAACAACAGTAATAGCAACGACAACAGTGATAACGGGTTATGTGAGGTGAGAAGATTCTCTCGCTCCATAATTTGTGCTCAAATTCAGAAGTTTCATCCGAATTTTCATGTGAAAATATTGTATTTCTCCAAAAATCTCGTCATTTCAATATCAGTTGGTTCTGTGAGCTTTTTAAGCGGTATGCTAGGTGAGTTTTCTTTTGGAGTGAGCAGTATAGTTTATTGGATTATATTTTGAGATTTATTCCATCGTGAATAAATTTTAGCATAGGATCTAATCCATTACGAAGGATATTCGTCCCTTATTTCTTATTCGTAAATGATCTTTTTGATATCACTGAATGATCGTTTGATGACAGGATGATGTACGTTTGCGAAATGTGGATTGCAAATCAGCTCTAATCAGCGCCTATCCAGATTCTTTGGTGAAACAGAAACGGATCCGAAAAATCAGCCGACGGAAGCCTTCATGGCCCAGACGCAGTGTGAAGAAAAAGTAATAATTACTTAAAAATTTATATTTCAACAGCAATTCATCACTATTGCATTATCCCAAAAAAACAGAATGAATAAAATGAAACCATAACTTTCAGATCCACAAATGCTGACTTATGGGATGAACGAGCGAGAAGGTAAGCCGAATTGACGATAATAATCTCTCAGTATAGGATTGAATTGCTCCCATTGTTTGAGTAATCAATGTCCTCGATTTCTCATAAATTTCATATTGTAACTCAAACTCATAATTTGGAGACATTTGATGTTTCAGCTCATGTTCAGTAAGCTTCGCTGAAATTCTCGAACGTATTTTCGAAACTAAGACCGACTTTTAAAAATATTCGCTCATTTCTTGTACGTATTTCAGGAATTTTCCAATTGCATTCGGCATTTTCAATGCTCTCTATTGGGGTTATTACGCGATTTTGGAGCGACGGTTGTTCGACGATCCAATGAGAACTGGATGAAGAACATTTGCTCGCATTCTATTGTGTAAATTATGAAAAGCAATCAATCAATCGTAAATTAGTGATTTGAAAATTGTTTTTGAATGTACCTCGAGCAGCTCATTCGTTATGTGATGATGCGGCGGCATGACGCCATTGTCTGTGCTGCCAATGCTTCCTTATCTTATCTTATTGCAGTGCCTTATCGTGACTTTCGATTGATCATCGAACTGAGACACTTTTAAAGTGATTTTATTCGACACGAATGAAACTGGGAACTTCCCACGATGCAATAAAATTTTTAAGTCTTTGGACCCTCCCGCAATCATCGAATCGTATCGACTGGGAACGTTAGTGCATGATCGTTGTAAAAAATCCAGAGTGAACTATCAATACTTCCAGTGCTAGGAGCACACTGCTTGCAGTCATTATCTGGTCGAATTCAGTAGAAGGGAATCTAGAGCAACTACTTGGCCCCAACGTGATGATATGCAGTCAAGTGATGAATTATAATATTCCATGTTCATTCGGCACAGATGTCTGATGCGCTCAACTGTATAATATTTATGCATTCTGAATGATTTATATGGTTATAAACGTTGGAATGGCAATTTTTGATGGATGCTTCCGGATGACGAGATAAAAGCTTGAAAGGAATATTCTTTTCGTTGTTCATTAGAGTGTCATTGAAAAAACACAATACAATTGAATGCAAAAACGAGACAAGCAATTAATGATTGAGAAAATGGCAATAAAATGATTATAAATAGAGAGTCGAACGAATGAAATGATGTCGAAAAACTGATAAAATTTCTTTATCAACTCAGAAAAAAACGAAGATTATATTGGTATCAATATCGTTATCAATATTTTTATGAATATATTGTCAGCGCATAAATCAGTGCAAAATTAGACACAATGTGATCAGATTAAAAAACAGAACATTCGGTGGTCTAAAGTGGCAGCTGATTGAACGAGTAGACAACACGGATGGTTTCATGATTCGGATGGTAAAAGTCATGAATGTTGTCGAATTGGAATTCAAGATAGGAGTCATGGATGTTGTCGAATAGTGAATTTGCTCAAATGTAAACAGCGATATTATTATCAGTGTGCTGTATTCGAGCAAATACGAACTTGAGGAATATCATAATCGATTATTTACTTACATGAACAAACGCAACACCTCATATGACATATAAATGATAATCCAGGATTCCATTATGAGATGACAACTCCTCGAGAACAATTGAGTAATTGTGATTAGATATGGATGTATCAGATTATGACGCATGAAGAAATACGATAGATTCAGGAAGAGGACGATGGGTGGCACAAGCGTATAGTTATGGCGCTGTTTTGGCGATCAGGGCGAAGAGATCATTCGCGGATCATTCGTTTTGTGATAAATGGAAAAGAAGCCTTCATTACTGTCAGCAATATGGTAACGATAATGATAAGATGATCATATCAATGTTAATGAAAACGATAATGATATCAAGAACAATGATAACGCACAGTCAAAAGAATCAGAGACAAAAGGAATAAATAGAATAAAGAGGAACAACCAAAATACACATGTTCAACTCAAAACAATCGCACATCACAACAAATGAATATAATCAATCGCAAAATAAATCATAATTCAATTTTGACAATGCAAATTGTAACAACAAAAATTGAAAAAATTTCCAAAATAAACACACAAAAAAGTCCATCGAACTTTGCCATCATGCAGCATTCTTCTTGGTTGGTGATGCTGGCATATGTAGGAATTCTTCGGCTAGTGCCGCTTGTCCATTGCGGATCAGTGCGTCGATCATTGGTCCAAGCCAGTGGTTTTTTGTTTTTAAGATTTCAATTAATTTATCCGCTTGTTCGGTACGATCTTCCTGAACGAGAAACAATCAATCCATTGAACAGATTGAAAACAGATAGAATTGCTCATATACATCATAAGAACCATCTTGAGAAATTAGACTGCAATGGTAATTTTACGTCCATATGCACTCACTTCTAACGAACTATCTTGCTGAATCGTCATTTCTAACTCAGAATCAGTCACTTACAGATGGATAATAGTAAGAAGAGCATCACAACATTCTCATAGCAGCATCAGCAATCGCTGTTCCCCGTTTTTTCAAACTTATTTGAAAGGAACAGGAACGTCTTGCATCACGATAGGATAATTCAGATGAAAATCGCAACTGAGCAGAAATTATCAAATTCGTCCAAACGGAACCTTTGAATAGACAGCACCCATTTCATGACTTCGCAGCACATGTCTAGCGACCAGTAACGGTACCAAATCACGCATATTCACATCGCTCAGCCGTGATCTCAACCGATCCAACTGATCGCTTTGCTCAGCACGTATATCTGCTAACGATCGTGAGCATGGCAGTGTCTGTGAATCTGCAGATGACATTTGAACCTGAAACTTTAATTTTCAATGAAATACACAAATGCTGAAATGTTGAGCATTGAAGCGACAGATTATATCAATCAAACATCTCGTCCAAGTTATATTATTGCGTTATCATTCATGTGATCGAAAATATGAAACAGAGCGACGTAATGATTGCCCAATGAGTGTTCATCATATCCAATTGTATCATTTCAAAACGTGATCAACATCACTAGATTATATAAGGAGACGCAAAGAAAATCTACATTAAGAATAAGACAAGAAACTGAAACACAGGTACCACAATAACAAGTAACGTGAACGAATAGAGAAATTTCCCAATTTATTCCAAATTTTTCAAGGGAGTCATTAATTTGCAGCATAACTGATGATGATGCATATTAAAAAAAGACACTGCACTCTCTTTGCATTGAACAAACAACACAATAGTAAAAGCAACAGAAAAAAGCGAGCGCACATTAATTAAACATTGATT